TCTGTACAGAGGACCATCACCTGCACAGATAAAAAGGGTTATTTATGATACGTATTTAAGTCACAAGACAGGCAATAACCAACAGCAGCCAGAGACAGCCCCTCCCCCCCCCTTTAAATGACACTGGTCTTTAGCAAGATGCACTCCTGCATTTGGCTTTGGCCAAAACCCCCCTGCAGGACCAACAGGGACAGAAAGCCTGCCAGGCCATGAGAATCACAGAATGGAGGCAGAGCTGCAGGGAGATGGGCCCATCAAGGACCACCACTGTGTAGCACAGCTGGGGCAGTGACCACATCCTAACCCAGCTCTGCCCGGGGACCCCGCTCACCTGCGATGTTGCCCAGCGCCCACACGGACTGCTCACTGATGTGCATGTGGGGGGAGGACAGGAGGGAGATGAAGGCAGGGATGGCCCCCCCCTCCACCACCGCCCTGGTGTGCTCCGAGGTGCCGGACGCGATGTTGGTCAGTGCCCAGGCTGCTTCAAACTGCAGAGCAGCATTGTCACTACGGGACAGGAACTCAACCAGCCTAGGGATGATCCCCAGCTCGATGATTTGATTGAGAGGGGGGTCCTTCTGCCTGGACAGGATCCTCCTGCAAGAGGGCACAGCACCTTTATAGCCATTGGGCTCCATCTGCATTAGATACTATCAAGGCCCTCATCTAGCCAAGAACAGCTAGAAGAGGGAGCACTTCCAGCCAGATCTGAATTCCAGCCACAACACCTGTGCTGGCAGAGGAGGGAATCCATGGTTTAGAGTTGTGCTGCCACCAGATCTCACCATGGTGCAAGCTCAGGGTGCTGCCAGGCCATCCCAGACATGGGCAGGCTCAGCTGGAGCAAGCAGAAAGCCAGCTGTACTGCAAAGCAGGGATCTGTCCCAGGAAAGCCCCAGCTGCAAAGCAGCCTCTCCTGGACCCTGGGGATAGATCCCTGCTGATGGTGATTCACATGGGGACAGCCCTGCTCAGCCACGTCCTGCTGTAGAGCAGCCCTTCTTCTGACCCAGCCTCCAACGCCTGGCTCCTTTCCATCCACCTCAGGTGTCTGCAACCAGCACAGCCCAGAAGGCACCACCAACTGTTCAGTTGGCTTTGCCCAAGCCCAGCATAGCACTCTGTAGGACCCCAATCCCCTGGGCTAGGAGGCTCCTTCCCCATTGCAGCTTATTGTGCCTTCAGTGCCCCCCAAGCAGGAACGATGCCATCTGGCCCCCAAACCCCACAGCAGTCCCATCCCTCCCATCAAGCAGCATACCTGGCTGCCTGTGTCGCCTGCAGCTGGAGCGAAGTATTGCTCCCATTCACAGCTTCCACTATTTCCTCCAGAGACAGTGGAACAATCTGTGTAGGGATGATTCAGAGTCAGATAGCAAGTCAGAACTCCAAGCCAGGACTCCCTCAGGTGTAATCTCACACTCAATCAGCTGTCTAGACCCAAGGCAATCAATGCTCCATATCTAAGGTGCTGTCTGCTCTTTATGCAATGTAGTTTCAGGATGAGACAGAGGAAGAGAATCCCACAAATGCCTTCCAGGCAACTGAGCCTTGTAATCAAATACAGGGGAGTCCCTGGCATCATAATGGGGCCATGAGCACAGTAATTACCCTGTTCCAGTGCCTGGAGCTGCACCCAGTTCTACCTGCCATCAAGGGAAGCTGCAATACACATTTCCATGCAAAAAAGCACAGAGGAGGGCTGGGCAGCACCCAAATCCCTCCCCAGTCCCTGCATTCAGCCCTGGCTGTTAACCCAGGTCACTGGAGCTGGATGTGGTGGTGGCCCAAGTCCCAAAGCAGACGGGATGCTCTGCATCAGCCAAGTGCTGCAGCACTGACCCACCCAGAAGCAAACACCCAGCACTCACCACATTTTTCTCTTCTGCTGGTGAGGGGCTCTTCTCCAGAGAGACGATGGAAATGCTCCTGCGCTTCAGGATCTGCTCATCCTTCTTGGCCTTCCGCAGCTCAATGTTCACCTCCACCCGCTGCCTGCGCAGGGCCTGGGGGCACAGGACACCATGTCAGCACTGCCCAGCTCGCCCCAAACAGCTCATCCCTAAGCCAGATCCGACTCTGCAACCCCAGGATTGCTACAGGGAGTAGAGCCAGCTCCTTGCCACGGCCAGGAGGGTCACAACAAAGTATCTCTGTCCATCCTCCCCAAGGATGCTGCCAGAAGTGACAGCCCAGAGCCACTCACCCAAAGCCTGTATCCCTCTCCTACCACATCCCAGCAGCTCCACACCATATCTCTGAAGCTATGGAAGCACCCCTGACAGGCTGTACTAAGATCTGAGTGTAAATAGCATTCAGAAGCCCTCACAGAAGCTCCAGCTGACTCCATTGTTTCTGGAAGGAGGTGCCACAGATAGTGGGGTTTGTACTTACTGCAGTGTCCTTGCCCTTGTTCTTGAAACTCTTCATCCTCTCACCATGCTTGTGCACAACTGGCATCTTGGCAGGTCAAGGATTTCTGCCAGCTGAAAGCTTCCACGTGCTCTGGGGGCAGCACAGGGCAGAGTGAGGTCACAGCCACACTACCTCCACCCCTGAGCATCTGGGACCCCACAACAGCCCCACACATCTGCTGCTCCCAGAGAAGGGATGTCAACTCCTCTGCCCTCAGCAGAGCTCAGACAGATCCACACATACCTCAGCCTCTAAACTAAGTAAGGGCACAAACCACCACTTAATACCAGGCTGGGAAAGTCACAGCTGCAACCCCATGAGAAAGCAGGGCATGCCTCTCCTTGCGGAGATAAGAACACCTTCCCCCAGCTCCAGGTCCAACTGATTTAGACAGCCTAAGCCTGGCAGGGCCTCCAAGGGCTCCTAGAAGCATCAGGTCAGGGCCCCATCTGAAGGGAGGCAGTCACATCCCAGCCCAAATCCCATCTCACAGCCCAGAGATCCCCATAGCAGAGGCATCAGGTCATGCACTGGCAGTGTGACCAAGCTCAAACAGACCTCCTTCAAACACATCTAATATAACCCCAGGTGAGAGGCATAAGCAAGACAGGCAACATTGCTCCTAAGCTTATCATAACAACAAAAAAAAACCCCATAGGCATACATAAAACATGCACCCAAATGAGACCAATGCAGCCCTCCAAGCAGGCAGCAAAGCATGACTTCACCCAGCATACTTCCACAGTAGCCACATACCCCTAAGAGCACACACTGAAACACATGCAACAGAACCCCACCACCACCAATAACAAGGGGAGGAAAAAACACTCACCCCCAAACCTCCCTCTCTTGCTCCCAGAACCCTCAGCTGCCTATTTATTGCCCCAGTGGAGCCACACATCCCAGCTGGTCCCAACCATTGGCTCTCCCCAGACCTCCTCATTAGCCCCAGCTGCTCCTGCCACTGCAATTTGGGTGCACCTGGAGCAGCAGTCATTCTTTGTTCTCTGAGTTGCTTTCCTACCTGGGCCACCCTGACACCTCCTCCAACTCCTCCTCTCCCCTCCATCATCACCTCTATATCTTCCATCTTCTCCATGCACTGCACTGCACTTTGCCCACTTTGGCATTATTACAGTGGACTTTCTGGGGATATTCTTACACTGTCTGGGCTGGGGCAGCATGGAGAACCCAGCAGGATCCTACAGTTTTCCCAAGTTCCTCAGATTTGAGCTGGGGCTGAAATCATTCCATTACCAGTCCTCAGCAGCCTCAACCCAGAGCTGGTTTGCATTTGCAGCTCCCAGCCCCGTGCACTGCTGCTGTATGGAGAGAGAGGACGGGGGAGAAAAATACGTGGCAATCACTTGCTGTCCTTTCCTCTCCATCCTTGGCCCCATGGGTGATGGCATGCGAGGCGACACGGCCGTGCTGAGCTCACCCCGTGCTGAGGACACGGGCAGATCAATATTTGCCGAGTGGGAAAGGGGACAACCGCTGGAGGAGAAAAGGGTTCTCTCTGCAGCATAATAAGAGGGTATCAGAGCTAATGGAGAGGAAAGGAGATAAAACCCTAAATCGGCATGACAGTGTCCCCTGCACTCAGCCGTGTGTGCTCAGGCTGAAAATCCACGTGGTGACAGGTAGGGAAGCTGTGGTTCTGGCACAGAGCTTTGCTGCTCCCTCGCAGCCCACAAGCCTTTGCCCAGCTGTTCGCAGTGTAACACTGCACAGCAATGGGATGGCGACCGGTGGCAGCTCTTTGAAGCCCCCCCCAAAAAAAAGGACTGACTTTTTGTGTGTTATTGTCATGTCTCTTTAATAAGCCTAGCCCTGAGGTTGGAAAGAAGCCAGCACTGGCATCCCTGCATCCGTGTGAATCCAATGAATCCGTGCATGCCATGCCCAGGGCCTCGTGTAGGATAGAGGCTGCAAATTCTCTGGGTGGGTTGGGATGAGCCCTTCTGGCACAGCTCACACCCATCCCTGCATGCCGGTACCATCATCCCCACTGCAGCCCCGGGGATTCATTGCAGCCCCATGGTTGGTGCAGCCCCCATCGGAGCTGTGATCAGAGCTGCGCTGTGTTCAGCACAAAGTGAGCACATAATAAGTGACAGCCCCTGTCCGTTACGGTCTGCCTGATGGGGACATGCAGCAAGAAGGTGGGAGAAGGGATTTATTGTTATCCCTGCCTTGCTGCTGAGCTATGACAGAGCTGAGCACTGCAGCTGGGTTTGGGGAGGGGAGGGAACAGTGGGGAGAGGAGGGAAGGGAAACGAAAGGAAGGGGAAGGGAAGGCAGGGGAGGGGAGGGAATGGGAGGGAAAGGGGACTGTTGCTTTCAGCCCTGGAAGCTGCAATGTCTGTGTGTGCTGAAGCAGCACAGAAGGCTCCTTTCTACAGCAAATATTGCTATAGTGAAAAAAAGACAGGCTTTCCCTCCCTGCCTATGGATGCATGTAGCTCTTTTGTTACTTGGACAACTCGCTTTGCTCAGATCAAGCACGTCCTGCTCTGTGTTGGTTTTGCAGCTGGCAGGAAACACTGTGCTGGGAAACCCCACCTGGCTGAAGGTCCCCGGGTGGCTGCACTGTTCTCTGAGAATCACTGTGCTCTCTGCAACCGCCGCCAGTAATCCTCCCACCACTATTTATTGCAGTTTCCAGAGCACCTGCAGGCCCCCTGAGCTCTGTGTGAGGGCAGATTTGTGGCAGCCACAGATCGATATCCCCTTCTGTTTAATGAATGGGGGAAAAGAAAAAAAAACAAAACAGAAATGCAGGGAATTCATTTGGAGGCAGAGCATCCACAGCACGTTGTGGTTTGGGGCTTTTGTAAGCAATTACTGCAAGCTTTGCATCTGGGAGTGAGGATTGCCAGCAGTTCTCTTAGAGAAGGTCATGGGATGCATTGATTCACTCGTGGGCACTGCCCTGTCCTCTGGTGTGCAACGTGCAGCAGTGCTTAGGTTGGGCCTGGTGATCTTAGTGGTCTTCTCCAGCCTTCACAATGCTATGATTCTGTGATCCTATAACTCTAGGCTGGATCAGCCCCAACTTGCAGAGAGGCCCCAGAGGAGGAAGGTCTGGGCATGGGCAGTCAGCACTGTCTGCAGGTATTCCCTCTGTGTGTCCGGAGGACAATCTGCTGGAACACCCATAGTGGGGCAATAGGAAGCTCTGAGATTCCACCTCTCCTCCTTTCCTTTCTTCCCATAGAGCCGTGAATTTCAGCCTCAGGAAATGGGGCAAAGAAGCGGCGTGCTGATATCCTGCCCACCTGGAGCAGCATGCAGAACTTGGGTACATATGTTTCTCCATTGCTCCATTGTTCCCCACCCCCATATTCACTGTCAGATTTTCTGTCTCAATTCCTGCAGTTACAGATTCAGGAGCTGAAGGAATAATGGCTACTGGGACCCCATTAGGAAAAAAAGTGCCTTAAGATTTTTGGCCATAAGAGGTTTAAGAACTTCCACAGCTGAATGAATCAGTGTCCCCTAGCTGACAGAGGATAATGGATTTAATAATAAATAGCTATGATTAAGTCTGATGTTATTTTTAAATAATTTCAAGAACTGTTACTCTAATCCCTCCGTGGTTGGCAGGAAGGATGCTGCTCAGCAGTTAAAATTAGTTCCCTCGCCTTCAGCCCAGCATGCAGTTCCAGCCTCCGGGGCCGTGCTGGTTTGCTGAGGCATCTGCTTCTTCTGGACATCCACAGCTGTATTTGCTGAGTGCCCTTTGCCTTGGGAAGCACCCCCTGCAATGACCAATGTTTTGGTCATGGTGGTGTCAGATGTGAACACTGTATTTGCTCACCCAAGGAAAACATCAGGCCGAGATGTCCCACGGCGCAGCTGGTGCCCATGGCACAGTTGGTCTTTATCAAACAGGCCAAATTTCCATGTATTTGTGAGCAAATCGAGCCACCTCTAAGGCAGGTTGCCTTCCTCCAGGTGCCAGCCCATCGCCCTGCAGGGACACAGCAGTTGGACCAAGGGCCACAGTGTGTTGTCACCCATCATCCTTGACATGTTTCCTTGTCCATGGCACTGTCAACCAAACTGATGGAAAGCTTCATGGATCCCTTCCCTTCCCTTCCCTTCCCTTCCCTTCCCTTCCCTTCCCTTCCCTTCCCTTCCCTTCCCTTCCCTTTTCCTTTTCCCCAGGGTCTCCCTGCAGTCTGGCTGGGGGGCTCTGAGCACCTGCAATGTCCCTGTTCAGTGCATAGAATGGGACCAGACGGTCTTTAAAGATCCATTCTACAACAGAAGAAAATAAAACAGTTCTACTAACCCCAAATTGGTGCCCTTTCAGTATCTTACCTCTGCAAAGACTCACAATGCCTTGATTTTTATTTTATATTGTCTTCAGATCATTATTTCTATAAGCTGAAATGGACAGTGAAAATGGGAAACACCACAGCCTCATTCCTCTGTGTGCTCCATCCCGCTGCCTTAAGCTACAGAGAAAGGCAGACTTCTCTAAGCTCTAACACAGAATCCAGGAAGAAAGAGGGTTTTTTTACAGATCTGATCTTTGAAAAGATGAAATTTCCTCTCCCTGACTTGCAAATTCACCCCTACAGGCACTGCTGTCTGTTCCCAAAGAGCCTCCCACCAATGGTTTGTTTTCCTACAGATACTGCAATCCTAGGTACTGCAATCCTATTGCCAGGCTCCCTTTGCTCTTCCCACCCAGGGCTGGCACCCAGAAAGGAGGGAGCCACAGAACTCCTCACATCTGGTGTCAGATGAGCCCTGTTCTGGTGATGTTGGGCATGTGAAAAGCTGAAGCTGATTCTGTTCATCAAAGGGATCTGCATTGCTGTGGATGGAACCAAAGTCTGGCCCCACTTCCACATGCAGTCACTGCTTTAGAGGAGGACAAATGTGTTTCTTCTTTCTGTAGCTGCCTCTGAGGCTCTTTGGGAGCACATAACCGCCTCCTCCAAAATCTGCAGGCTTTTCCTTCGACGATTATCATGCAACCATTACTCACATCCATCAGCACAACACTGTGATTGTCTTGCAATCAGGATCCTAAGAACAGCTGATCAGGGAGTGGGCGCTGCTCTTTGTTTGCACACATGCACCCAAAGCCCAATGGAGAACCTCGAATCCCAGCTCCAGAGGCAAAAAGACTGCTTGTGTTTCCTGACCCCTCAGCCTGCAGAAAGAGCAGAGAGGAAACATATGGATCGGTTATTCTTTAATGTGGGGTTGTCTGCATCCCTCCTACTTTCAACTCATCCCAGATTTGCATCCCACCGAGCGGCCATATGGTGGCTTTGCCTCTGTGGATGGAGGGCCAAGGCAAGCTGCAGGCTGTGGGCAGCAGCTGGGCTGCTTCCAACCTGCTTCCCACCAACACGAGGCTGCACTGTGCTTACACCTGGGTGCATTTCTCCCATAGAGCTAGAGAAGTCAGGTCATTTCTCAGCAAGCAGATGAAAGAGGTTCTCATGTCTTTATGCCCGGAGAGGTTCCTGGTGGGGTCACCGGCCCTGAAGGTGTTCCAGAACCATGGGGATGTGGAACTGAGGGATGTGGTTTGGTGCCATGGTGGGGAAGGGCAGGGGTTGGACTTGGGGATCTGAGATGGCTTTTCTAGTGATTCTGTGATTCTGCTGATTCTATAATTTTCTACCAGATCCTCTCCAAGAAGAAACCTGACCTTACTGATACGGCACTCGTAGTGACTCACTCCCTCTGATGATGCTGCTGCCCTGCTCCATTCTCTCCTTCTAGAATAAGAAGCCTGCTCACTGGAGCTGTCCTGGGCCAGGGGTTGGGATAGGTTATGTGCAACAGAGGGTCACTGCTTTTTATCTGGGGAGCATGACCAGCAGCTTTTCTGTAGGCAGCTCGGGGAGAAGAAAGCTGTCTTCCCATATCCCGCTCCGTGCTCACTGAGGTCCCACTTGATCTGGCAGCACTGCCACTAAAATAACACAGATCATTTTCAGACAGCAATGGTGAGCTGCCTCACGCCCATTGCCTACATCTCCCCCAGGCAGGGAAGACAGCCAGGACAACTTCTGCAATACACGTTGAGAAGGTTTGAGTGCTCAATCCCACTTGCTTCAGTGCAGCTGCTGTGTCAAAATCTTACAGGCATCCTGAGCAACTCAACCCAAAGGAACACTGTCCAAACCTGCTCAGGAACAGAAGCCCCTAAGAGCTCCCAGCCTCAGCCAAAGCCCAGATAACCCAGAGATGCATTCTGCCCTCTGAAAGCTGAAGGCTAGATGTGAATATGCTCTGCACAGCTCATGAGTGTGGATTGGCGTTACTGATTAACAGCCACTGGCCGAGGCTGTGTGTGGTTTCAGACAGAGCGGCTGCAGTGCTTTAGCAAAAGCTGCAGCAGTGATGTAGGTTGGAGCCTGCTCGTCCCACAGACAGCTGTATCTCCAGGAGGAGCTTTTGAAAGAGGAAGACCCGACCCTTTGTCTGAGTATGATGCACATTTTCCTTTTTAATATCATTTTGAAGAGTATCTGTTACCAAAAAGGGCTTATGGGGAATATCTGCTGGCTCCTGAGACGGTTATTGTAAGCAGGACTCGAGCTGCAGAAAGATCAAACACTCTCCAGCTGCTGAACTCACAGTGCCCTTTCAGCAGCTGTCGGTATCGTGCAGCTCCTGCGATCTGCTCCTTGCACACCAGCAGCTCTGACTTGCACAGCCACCGCCACAGGCAGTCCCAACTCGTGGCTGGTGAGCATCACGCTGTCTGCAGGCACTGCTCCCCTCTGGATGCTCCCTTCTCAGGGCACGTTTTCCCTGTGCTGCCATGGGGACGCTTGGGACAACTGCTGTCAGAGCGCACAGCCCTTGGCTGGCAGAAATCAGAGTGCTGGTTTGCACTGCATCTAAGGTGCTCCGTCCCATGTCAGCCCATCCAATCGCAGTGGGCTGGAAAATGGCTTTAGATGTGTAGCACGATGAACTGGCTCCAGCTTTTGGAGCAGGTGAGGAATTCCCCTGTGCGGAACCATGTCCTTCTGCCAGGCACCCCCTGGTGTATTGGGCTGGAGCCCAGTGAGAAGCTCTGTGCTTATGAGCTGCTGGGGATATGGGGCTCCTTGGTGCTATGAAGTTTCAGCTGAAGCCAAGAGAGGAGCAGTTGGAGGTGGACATCAGGAAGGGAGCTGTGCTCTCACACTGCTGATGGCAACCCAGCACAAAGCCACGTCGCTAGGACTGCAGAGGCTGCTAAACCCTGTTTCCAGGGAATATAAAATGACCTTAAACAACACAAGACTAACAGATGTGCTTGGGAGAAGTAGAGCTGCCATCACAGCTGGTTGGGCCGGACAGAGCTGAGACCCAAAGCCCCTCACACCTGCAGTGGTGCTGGGAGCAGTGCTTCCCTGCTGCAGATGGATGTATCTCTGTGCCTTAAGGAAGCAGCACAGACAGAGGTTGGCTCTGCCGCCCAGAAATGTGCATCTCAGAGATCCTTTTCAGTAACAATCAACAGAAAACACTGATTGTCAAATCGCCTGATGGTGACGCAACTGTTGGGCATTTGAATGTACAAAGAACAGCGAGGCAGCTTCGTGACTCCTCAGCACGTTACCACCGCCTTTGTTAAAAATATAATCCTTCCAGATAGCCTGAAAAGGAACAAAACCCCCCAGACTCAAGCCACAGCTTGTTTCCTGTAACACAAAGCCGCAGGAAAACTCCCCCAAAGGCACAGCAGCCAAAGGATTAAATGCGTTTTTGCTTCTGCTGCTGACACATTGCTGGAGGAGCCAGAGCCCTGCAGCTCCCCATGGCCTGTCGAGCCTTACCCAGTGTGCATGACTTGCCTCTGCCGTGCTGTCAAGCAGCCATGCTAATGCCCAGCAGCAGGAGCAGTATTTAAGCATATTATCAATCTCCACCAGCTATTCATACCACTCCACTGCACAGACACACAGAGAGAGTGCGATCGGAGCACGGATCGTGGCCCTTTGCTCTATCTTTTTTACACTTAGCAGCTATTTTCTCCTGCTTCCAAGCAGGTTTTGGAAAGTGTTGTTATGTTGGCACACCCTGATTGCACTTGGTTGCACCAGCTTATAAGCCATGTTGTCCCCTGTCAGAGTACCAAAGCCTGAGCCTAAAAGGTGAAAACAGAACCTTGTGATATTCCTTCCTTCCTCTGACAATCCCTCTCTTGGGGCAAAGGTCCCAAGGCGTAAGGCTGTCAGTGTGACGCTGCTCATGCCCAGCTCACAGCCTGTGTGTGCTTCCAGCCCTGTCCTTGCAAACGTGCCCCTCCAGCACAAAGGAAGGCACCACCAAGTGCTGCTGCAGAGACCTGTGTGCACAGATGGGAGCAGAGTGCCGTCCTGGCTTAGCAACAAGCTGCATCACCCCCAGCAGTCAGTGTCCTTTTGCTGCCCAGAAAAATGTCAGCTTTCCACCAGCCTGAAAAAAACCTACTGCTTATGAGGATTGCCATCAGCTCAACTCATGGCTCTATGGTTGGAAGATGAATAGGAAACAGTGTAGGAGAAAGCCATCAAAGAGATACGGTCAGATCCCATTCCTACTTTGCACAACTCCATCTCAGTCCGTTCGAAATGCAGAAAGCAGCACCAGCTTCCCAGCAAGGAGGTGGGCTCAGCACAAAACCTGTGTGTGCCAACACACGGCTGTGAATGCAGCTGCTCTTCTCTCCTGTTCTATTTTCCAAGGAGTGAGTTCAATTCTGCTTTGAGAATTTCCTAAAAACAAACAACCAACATGAGATTCCAAGCAGGATGCAAGTGAAATGATGCATGGTTGTTGTTTGCCTGGGCAGGACTGAGCTGCTAACATAAGTCCAATGAGACAGACGGATGTTGGAGGCCGCAGCACACCGCTGCAGTGTGACTCCTCTTCAGGAGCCTCCCTCCCATCTTCTGTGGGATGGAATTGATTTTGGCTGCTGGCAGCAAGAGATGGGATCCTCTCTGTGACCGCCTCCAACTCGTGCAGGGTTAGCAACCATCCATCCTTTGCATGCACCCTGCCCCCAGTGTCCCACATCCAGCAGCAGCTCTGCCTGCCCGGCTTCCCGCAGCCCCCAGGGCTGGCTGGTGCTGCTGCCCGAGCTCAGCACTACAGAACTGATTGAAGGGTGCTGTGCTCTGATCGAAACTTCACCACCTGATCACTGGCATCACTGCAAACACCCTTGGGTGCCTGTGAGACCCAAAACGCCCCTCTGGGCCGCTGCTAACTGCAGCTCCTTCATCTTCGTACCCCTTGTTCTCATTTTAGATGTCAGAGATTGAATCCCAGCATAACCCCTGTGGGGTCGGTGAGCAGTAAAAGCCATCAGGGCTGCTGCTTGGCTCTGCTGACCCGGGGCAGAAGGAGCACAGAACTGGACACGACACCATTCGCTCCTATCAGACAGGGCCAAGCAAATTGCTGGCAGTTATGATTCAGCACGTCTTTGGTGCAGAGCTGCCGAGTCAAGAGTTTCTACAGCAACCCGCTTCCTCATGCATACGATGCTCTCTCTTACACGTGTTCCCAACCCTGGCTTTTAATCAGACAGTACAGCTAATATAGTGCAAATGAAGTGCACCTTGAGCTATGTGATGAATCTCACTTGCTCTTTCCTATTCCTTAGTCAGGCAAAAATTCCACTAACTGATCACTGATCCAATTTAAGACTGGAAAGGAAAATGGGGAGAGATTGCTGGAGCTGTCTGATGCTAGCAGCATATATCAACAATTTGCACATATGCTTTTGTCACAACATAATGAGAATATCTATTGCAACAGCCAGCAAAGGAAGCATCCTGCTCTTTGAAAGGACCTGAAATCTGCGTTTCCTGTGTTCTACAATTATTATGCAATATCTATCACGCCTTCAGACTGTTTCATCCCTAACTTTTAACTTACAAATTGAGATTAAAGTGGGACAGACAACCCCTCATCTTATTCTTAAGCAGCCACCAGGTTGCTTTTTTCCCATCACTACTGAAACCAGCATGTTTCTGCCACAAGAGAGCACAAGGTGTATTTGGGTTTCATCACCAAAAAGGTCACTAGTCCTGCTTTGCTGGATGCTGGCTTGCTCTTATCATCTAACCACTGGTATTCATAGCTAGAAAGTTTGGGAACAGAAAAGGCCCAATCCAACTCCTAAATCATAGAATCACAGAACGGCCTGGG